CAACCTTATAATTTAGATGAGTGACGACTCCCTTTTTTTATACATTTTTACACTTGATTTTTCAATTTATTTAATTTCCTTTTTAAGTGGTCGTCAACAATAATACATAACAGTTCTCGCTCCATTAAATTCTAATTCCAAAATATTGTTCGCCAATAAATATTTTGAAAACCAACGTTAACCAACACGTACGTACTCGAACTCAAGCCACTTGACGCGTTTACTAGGTCTAGGTTGCCATTTCCTTGATAGCGTGGCCCCGACTACTTGACTGTTTGCCAGGTCTAGCACGTCGGTTCCTTAATAGCGCGTACTCAACCAATCCCAACCCCTTTACTGGTTCGGCGGGTCTAGCTCGTACCAAGCTTCTTTTTCTCTATTTATATTCCATCAATTCTTTGATCATCAGAAATTAAACCAGAAGGAAGAGATGGAGCAGCAAAACGAGTGTGAAAGAGAGATAGAAGAGTGTATCCAACTCTTTTGTCACCCAAATCTTCTCGAGCTAACATGCTCAAATAACCAGACTCATGACACAGTAACTCCACCTCCATGTACATACTGCAGCCTTCAACCCTCCGGATGGATGCACAACTCCAGGCTCTTCAACTTCACCCTCCACATGCCATGCACGAGGCTGCCTTCAATCATTAAACATCCAGCCCATCCCAACCACCCTTTAACCCTCTTCCCAACTTCTGCTTATCCTACTGTACGGTTCACCTGCGACAGCTGCTGTCTCCGGATTGATGGCTTCTGCTACTACTGCAACCAGTGTAACTTCCATTTACATGTTCTCTGTGCTTCACTACCTCCAGAGATCAACCATCCATCCCATCCCAGCCACCCACTTTCCCTCCTCCAAACCCCTGCTTACCCTAGCGGTTGGTTCTCCTGCAATGGATGCCGCATTCCTGGCCACGGTAGGTGGTACCACTGCCGTCACTGTAACTTTGATTTACATGTTCTCTGTGCGGCACTGCCTCCACTGATCAACCATCCATCTCATCCGAACCACGCTCTTTTCTTCACTCCAACTTCTACTTACCCCAACGTAGTGTTCACCTGCAATCGGTGTCGTAATCGGTGCCATGGGTTCTGCTATCGCTGCCACCACTGCAACTTCGACTTACATGTTCGCTGCGCGTCACTGCCACTTTCACCCTCACACCAATCTCAACCTCAGTCCCTTGGGAATGGTAATGGAGGAATACAGCATTTGAACCAGTCCAATGGGCACAATGGAGGAGTAGGAAATACCGTAGCCTCAAGTGTGATTTCTGATATAGTCAGTGAGGTTACTCAGAGCATTATAGATGCTCTCATTGGTGGAAATAATAATTGATGTGTTTTTAACACATCAATATCTAAGTTAATTTAGTCAATTCATGTTATATGTATAATTGTATTTTTAAATTTATTTATTTTTAATTATAAATTAAAAAGTAATAATTTTTTAATAAATACATTATTTTGTAAATAGTTCAATGTGATAGTAGAAAATTCTAAAGTTCTACCTTAGTTATTTGGTAGAATGTAGCATCATACAACAAGTATTATGTCTCAGCACCCCTGAACAAAATGGAGTTGCTAAATGAAACATAGATATACCATTGAAACAAGTTTGATTATGCTGCTTCTAGAAAATTTGCCACCTCAAGATTGGGTTGAAATTTTTTCTACTGCTACTTACTTCATTTACAGATTGCCTACCCCAATATTGAACAATAAAAATCCCATTCACTTGCTTTATGATAATCCCCCTAATTATTCCATGTTGAAGGTATTTGGAGGTTGATGTTTTCCTTATCTCCATAATTATGCAGCTTATTATAAACTACAACTAAGATCACCTCCTTGTGTTTTCATTGGATACAACCCTACAAACAAAGGATACACTACAAGAAAAATAATTTTTAGTGATAAAAATTTGTGATGAAATTTGAAATTATTACTATAACTTATTACTATAACTTATCACAATTGTGACAGATCTAAAAAATTATTCATAGATGCATAAATATTTAATGATAAACAAAAAAATTCATCATAAAAAATATATTTCGTCACCGAAAAATATTCATAGAGATAAAATAAGTTTTTGTCGATAAAAATCATCACTATAATGCATTATAATTATGACAAAATTCTAATATTGGTCACATATACCTTACGCATTCAATGATGACCAAATAATTTATTACTAAAAAATATAGTTCGTCACTAAAAATTGTGAATTTTCTCTAATCAATGTATCCCACATCAATTAAAATACATAAGAAAATAAGGTTTTGCACTATAAATATATCCTACATCAATAAAAAATATTTAAGAAAATAAATTTTTGCATTATAAAACAGGTAAAACTCAATAAAACTTAAGATTAGTTTGGGCCTGATTAATTTTAATCGGGCCCGATTAATTTTAATTGGGCTTGTTAATTTTAATCAAAATTGATTAGTATTGAAATAATAATATTTTTAATAATATTTTTTATTAAACTTTTGTGATAAATTTATATATTATTTTTTTGTGATAAAATTTTTGTTAAAATATTGTGTTGTAATTATATAAATATCTTTTTTTATTTAATATCAATTTTAATAGTTGATGACTAAATTTTGCATCATAATTGCATTTGTGACGAATATTTTTTGTGACGTATAAAATTGTTATAAATAACTTGTTAACAATATCAATTTTTTCAATTACTATAAAATTATTTTCTGTGACAAGTACTTAATTTGTCATTAAAAGTATTAGTGACAAGAGTTTTACTAACGGTTTAAATTTTATCACTAATAATAATTTATGACGAAAACTAAAAATTTAATAATAAATAATTTAGTCAATGTGGATTTTCTTGTAGTGATATAAGTATCTGGATCCTTCTACTCGATGTGTTTATATTTGAAAACAGTTCGTTTTGATGAATATTTTCTCCCTTATACATATCTAACAAATATCTCTAAGAATGTTAATGTAGGTGGAGAGCTGTTCACATACCCAACTCTGATGAGTGGTTCCACTGTTCCAGACCTTTTCAAAGCCAAGTCACAACTTGATGCAATCATGATATCAATATGCACGTACCGTGCTTCTTTTTCTCTATTTATATCGTCAATTCTTTGATCATCGGAAATTAAACCGGATAGAAGACGTGGAGCTGCAAAACGAGGGTGAAAGAGAGATAGAAGAATGCATCCAACTCTTTTGTCATCCTCATCCTCTCGAGCTAACATGCTCAAACAACCAGACTCAAAACACAGTAACTCCACGTCCATGCATCCGTCCGGATCTCCTTGTTCTTCAACTTCACCCTCCACATGCCATGCACCAGGCTTCCTTCAATTAATCATTAACCATCCGGCCCATCCTAACCGCCTTCTATAGCCCTCCTCTCAACCACTGCTTACCCTACCCCAAGGTTCACCTGCGACAGCTGCTGTTCCGGATTGACGGCTTCTGCTACTACTGCAACCACTGTAACTTCGGTTTACATGTTCTCTGTGCCACACCGCCCCCAGTGATCAACCCTCCATTCCACCCCGGCCATTCCCTCTTCCAAACCCCTGCTTACCCTAACGGTTGGTTCTCCTGCAATGGATGCCGCCTTTCCGGCCACGGTAGGCCGCCACCACCGCCATCACTGTAACTTTGATTTACATGTTTTCTGCGCGGCACTGCCTCCATTGATCAAACATCCATCTCATCCCAACCACCCCCTTTTCTTTATTCCAATTTCTTTATTCCTCTTCAGTGAAAGGTGCCATGAGGAGCTCATTATCTGTCTGGGATATCTGTTTGAAGTTGATGCCATCGAGCTTTGGTCTGTTCCATTTTTCTTCTGTGAACATCTTCTTGAAGTACTTTACCACCTCTTCTTTTATCTGAGCCACCCCCGTATGCTGTTCACCATCAATTTGGATACAATTCATTTCATTTCTCCTCCATCTTCCCTTCACACTTCTATGGAAGAATCTTGTGTTTGCATCCCCTTCCTTTAGCCACATCTTTCTTGACTTTTGTTGCCACATTCTCTCATTTATTTTTAAATTCCTCCAAAGGTTAAGAAAACTATTTCTCCTCTTTTTGCTATCCTCTGCCGAGAGTTGTACCTCCTCTCCTCTCTTGTCAATTGCTACTATCTCCCTTTCTACCTCATTTATTTTACAGTCAACCTCTGCCATAGATCTACCACTCCACTCTTTCAATGCTTGCTTGGTTCTTTTCAGTTTTTCTTTGAGAACGAAGCCCTTCCATCCTTTAATCATTGTCGATCTCCACACATTACTGATCATTTCCTTGCAACCTAGTTGTTCCAGCCATACATCAAAGAATCTGAATGGTTTTGGTCCCCAATCTATCCTATCATTCTTCAACATGACAGGGCAATGATCTGACACTGTTCTTCTCAATCCCCATTGCTTTACATCACTGCACTTCATAAGCCATTCTTCCGAAAGCGAAAATCTATCAATTCTGCTCATGCTTTGGCCATTAAAGTTGTACCAAGTGTATTTTCTTCCCACTAGTGTTAAATCAACTAATCTCGCATCATGAATGAAACAGTTAAACTCACTCATTTCCCTCAATACCTCCTTGCATCCTGCCCGTTCCTCTACACTTCTTACAGCATTAAAGTCTCCTCCTATGCACCATTTGCCCTTTCTACTCCTAATTAGACTCATTACCTCCTCCCTTAAGGCTCTCTTTCCCGTCAGATGACATGGGGAGTAGACATTCAAAACATTTACAGGCGTCAGATCCTCCCCCCATAACCCATTCACACCAATATAGTTGCTCCCCATTAAATCTTTTTTTTTTCCTGAACACCTTAGAATTCCATACACATACAAGGCCTCCGGACATTCCTTCTGAAGGTTTGAATACCCAATCAAAATCATCATAACCCCACAACTTTCTACAGATACCTCTATCAATTACCACCATTTTAGTCTCCTGAATCATTACAAAATCCACGTTCTCCTTTCTAACTAATTCTCTAATTTGTCTTTTTTTTCCAATCCCACCAAGGCCTATAATATTAAATGATAATAATATCATCAAGAGATCTGCTTACCTTCTTTACATCACCGGCTCCCTGCCTTCCCAATTCTGTCTTTGTCTGCCTGTCTCTGCTCTCCATTTCCTCAATTCTCTACACAATATCTTCTTCATTCTCTACTGTAGCACCAAGCTGTTTTGCTAAATCCCAAATTTCCTTAGCAAGTTGGTCACTCATTTTCTTCCTCCATGCTCTGTTGTAGTTCTAGATTCCACTGTCGGCAATGGATTCACTTGCAATTTCTCCGTTTGGGCTCACTACAAATTCCGGATCTACCCTCCCTTCCCCTTGTTGATTGCCGATCCTTCTCTTTCCTTTCATTTTTCCAACAACTTCTGATTTTGAGTAAACCGAACTACATAAACTTATTTTCTTCTTCCTCATTTTTACAGCTCTCTTCGGTCTCTCATTCCTCCAAATCTGCACTCCCTCTTTACTTTTTCCGTGAGATTCCTGTGGGAGATCTTCTTCTGTACTTTCCTTCGTTTCTTCCGCATGCTCACAGTCCCTGTTATTTTCCATCTCCGTTACTGATTTTTCCTTCCTTTCTGCCTCATGTTCCCTGTTTCTGCACCTTTCTTTCCCACTATCTGCACTATCTTCCGCTTCTGCCACCTATCTATTGCTTCTAGACACCTCTACTTCATTTTCTACACTTTTTTCCATTTCCGCCAAATGCTTCCTGCTATTGGGCTTCCCCTTTACACTTTTTGAATTTGGGTTTGGCCCTTCACATGTTTTTTGGGCCAAACCCAAGTTAAATGATGCTGCATAGCTTGGGCTGCCCTCATGCAAGTTCGGCCCCCCTATTTGCTTCATCCCATGCCTTTCCAGTGAGCCTGAATTCTTCCCAACAGCCTTATCAGTCTTCCATATCTGTCGTGCCACCCCTTTGTCTCTTGCACTATTCACTCTCTCAACTTCTTTTTGAATTTGAATTGCACTTTTTGACATTGCTTCTGCAGCTTTCGTCACTTCTTCCGGTGGGCCAAATTTTCCGTTGGACTCATCACTTTTGTTTGCCACATCATCATCTTCTACGTCTAGCCCGTCATTTTCTTCTTTTTCCTACTCTGTTTCTATGGCTTCTTCAATCTCAAAGCCTTCATTTCCATCATCAACTGACCATGATTCATGATCCTCTGAGTCACTCTGAAAGGTGGGCATGAAATCTTGTTTCAAGGAGAAGAAGTTATTGGTACATTCCTCCTCCGTGAATTTCAAATTATACAGAGACCCATTGATTTTAATTTGATGCATAATAGAAATATTGTCTTGAATTTGAGTTGAGATCAAGAATCTCGCAATGTCAAACCTTCTTCTTTTACTTCTGCTATCATCCAAACACATGAATTTTCCCCATGAGCAGGCCATGGTTTCAAAGAAGTTTGTTCCCCATACATTTAATGGTGCTCCTTGACATCTAATCCACACAAATCTGTCCTTAGCAACCATATTTGATGACCAAGGTCGTACCCATTCAAACCACTGTCCCAACCACTATGAAGCCATCTCTACCAAGTCCTTTAATTCCCCTTTCTCCTCACAATCTAACAGCACCATCTTTCCCCCCATAGTGCGAATTCGACATGAGAAATAACCTTCCATGTAGAACTTTTCATGAAAATTATGGACAATTTCAATCGAATGAGCCAAACCCACATAACAGTGATCTAGCCATGCACTATCCTCTTGCTTCACGTTATATTCCAATCCAACCCATCTTTTACTCACTCCTTTCTCCTGCCACATTTTCCTTTCATCATTCTTTCTCTCTTCTTTCCTGTTTTTGTTTTTGTTCTCTCCTTTCTCCTCAAACTGAGTCTCACTATTCTTGATTCTTAGCTCCTTCTCATGATTTCCATACTGCCTGCCTCTTACTACTTTGGCGTAACTTCTCATCGGCAGTACTGGCTCCATGGTTTGACTACTTCTTCTTCCCCTATCAACCTTTTGCTCATCTTCATACTTTGGAGAGTTCACCCATTATTTTTTCTCCCCCACCCAGATCTGGTCTAATTGCTTCTCAAGCTCCTTTTTATCCTTAACATTCAAGAATCTAACAAATCCAAATCTACCCCCATTTATGCTTTTCCTATTTGGACTATATATGTCATAAACTCTTCTATATTTCAAGAAAGTATTCCACATGTCAACATAACTCCATTCCTTTGGAAAATTTGTAAAAAAATATGGAGTGGCCTGTTTGTACAATCCCCAGTCATATGACCCTCCGTTAATTCTTCTTTGAGGCTTATTCTAAACTAGTTGCGCTCCCCTCTGTGTCTTCGCTTCATTCCACCTTTGACGGCTTCTTCCCTGAGATCTTGCATGCTCTCTGCCCTGTGTTGTCCCTCTTCCTCGTGTCCGACGATCACCCCCTCTTTCTCTCTGTCTTCCTCTCTCTCTCATCCTTTTTCCTCAATAATTGTTGAGATATGTAGTCCATTACTATAAGCATTCCAAGGTAAGATAACACCTACCAACTATTTCTCCTCCTCTAAGCCTTTAGTTTTAATAAAATAATAATAAAACCCATACAGATCACAAGTAGAAAGATGAACTCTCACAAAAACCAACTTTGAGAATCAGAAAGAAGAAAATCCCTAAAAAAGTAAAACAAAACCGTTAAAAAGAAGAGAAATTTGAGAATTAGAAAGAAAGAAAAAGGATAAAGAAATGATGGGTGACAAAGGAAGGAAGGCAGGGCTCCGCTCTGTTTTTTACCGGATGGTTTTGTGTGCAATTAAAGCATTAGAAACCCATAAACAAAAACTACAGGCCTTATAAAATGACAAATGCGCCCACTAGTGTAGATCAACCAGGCCAATGACTTAAGTCTAGTTATCTTAGAAAACTAACTGGGTAATCCTTGTTTTTGGGTGACCAACGTTCCGATCGAGAGTTTTCATTAGGCAGCACTACTAGAAAAATATGCGGTAGAAATTATTATCTATGAATAAAGGGAAAAAATATTTATCAATTTTATATATAAAAATTTAGATAAAAAAATGACATTATTGTTATATATTCTAATTTAACACATTATATAATATATTTATTAAAAAATTATTATTTTTTATCTAAAATTAAAAATAGATAAATTTAAAATATAGTTATCATACAAGATAAATAAACTAACTGAATTGACTATACTTTATATTATAATTTAATAATTGAATTAAAATGAATATTTTAAAATATGTTAAACTAAGAATATACCAATCATTTTTCATAAAAAATACTCAAAATTACATCATTTTAATTAATTTTGATTGAAAAATACTAAAATATCATAATTTTTAAAACATGAATGAGACTATTTTTGTCTTTTTTTTAGTGATATTTTATTGAAATGAAGTAATTTTAAATGTTTTTCTACTTAATTTTCTTTTTTATAAATTTGATTGATAAGCACTAATCTCTTAATATATCTGGGGTTAACTAGTGCAATGTAGGTCATTTTTCTAATTTTTTTTAAAAAAAAAACATGCATAAAAATCTACCTTCAAATTAATATTTTCATAAACCAATCATTGGATAGAAATTCTTTTCATGTAAATCATGTATAAAAATTTTTATATTGATTTAACATTTATAATATTTTGATTGAAAAAACTCTCTATTTATTTACATATATTAAATGTTGTTAACTTTTGTGTGATCAACAAATTGGTTAGGCCTCTTTAATCAATTTGAAAATCACATGCATGATCTATATGAGTATAATTTTTCATCTAATGATTGATTTTTGAAAATATTAATTAAAAAATGAGTTTTTAAATAGATCCTCCAAAAATATTTAGTGAACTTGTAAAACACTTTTCCCTCTCTATATAAATATAAATTCACATACTATTATGACTATTAGAATTTTAAAAATAAAATAATATTATTAAACAAGTTTATATTATTTATTGTTAGTGTTAAAATTTGTTTTAAATAAATTATTAGCTTTTGATTTTTAGCTGTGGTTTTCAATAGTTACAAAATTTATGAAAACTAAAATTAACAATAAAAAATCACAGATATACTAAACAGAGCCTTAATTTATTAAGTAATTTCTCTCTTGACTAAAAACTAAAGTTTAAGCAATATCTTCTAGAATATAATTTGCATGAATTTATTGAAAATAAAATGAATAATGTCATTCATACGAAGCAAAAGACATCAAAAGAACATTATATTCTTTTTGAAAATGGAAGCATTTTTATATGAAATTAGTGTTTATTCGTCTTATTCTTTAAAAATTAAGAAAAAAATTATTAGAAAATTACTTTATTTTAATAAAGTATCATACCAAAAGCTAAAAAATAATCTAATTCATATTTTAAAAATAAGGTATTTTAGTTTTTTCTAATGAGAATCTATTAAAATGGTATAATTTTAAAATAATTTTCTTTTTAATTTTTAAAGATGTAAGGCTGATGAATATTTTTTCCTATAGATATTTTATAAAATCATCTGTTGCTAAAAAAACAAAAAAGGCTGAGGAGAGAATAATACAGTACATTATGGTGGAATTTTTTGAATTTTTTTTAATGGTTTTAATGGTAAGATAACTAACATCAGTTAAAAATTCTAATGGAAGTAGATGAAAGTCCATGAATGACTAGTTTTTCAAAAGAGTTGGGTTTTATTTATTTAAAAAAATAAGATATTTTTACCTATTTCTTAATTTTTATAAAGTTTTATTGAATAATGGTATGCAACCTATTTTTTTATAAGTTTTTATACAATTTTAATATGTTATTAAATAAGTAAATACATATAATATTACTAGTTTAATATAGTGAAAAGAGCTAATTTTTAACTGAGATGTAAAAATATAGAAAAATAATTTATATATCATCTAATTTAATACACTTATTAACACTTATTGGTTCAGTAATTAAAATTTACACTTGAAAATTTTATGATCCTTGTTTAGAAAGAAGAAAGAAGATGATTCTGGAAGACTAGGAGGTTGGAAAAAAATTGAGGCTTCTTTTAAGTAGTTATAGGCGCAAAATAATAATAATAATAATAATAATAATAATAATAATAATAAGTTTAAATGTTAATTTTGGTTCTTAATTTTAGGATTTTACATAATTTTTATTTTTTAATTTTTTTTTCACTTTTTTATTCTCTCAATTATTAAAAAATACACTCTTTTAGTTTTTTTTTTGTCAATTAGTCTATTAAACATATCTAAATATGTAGATTTTTAATCTTTTAACTTATAATATATGCATATTCACTACAAGGAAACAGGTTTTTTGTGACTGTAAAATCAATCACAAAAACTTATATTTTTAGTCACAAATAG